TTGGAAAATTAATATCAAATTAAAAAAATCACTTACATGGGAAACCAATCACTATTATTAAGACCACGGAAAGTAGATCTTGCTTCTAATATATCATCACAATGATCATGATCACGACAACACATATCAGTTTCACGTTGAGTACCCAAGTCGTTATAGCTGGAGGAAGTATTACCCGGACCACACCATTTAGTACCAGGTGCTGTTATACCCGTACTGGGAGGTGATGGTGGTAAGGCTTGCCTATAAATATCTTCATCTTCAAAGATGGATTCTTCAAAAGCCTTTACTTGAGACGTAGTAAAGATAAGTAGAATTAATAATTCTAACAAAACTTTTGTTTTGTTTCCGCGCTTCATTTCGTTTAGAATGATTGTTTTAGAAAGACTGAGTATTGATTAGTTTCAATTCAATCATAAACATTATTTCGAAACAAATTATAATATTAGGTAAAATGATAATGACCTTCCATTGTATAATTCCACTGATAAGCCGGGGTAATCAAAAACAGAAATGTTAATGAAATTTGAAATCAGAAATAGTACTTTTTGTAATAAGCTTAACTTAAGGGAAAGCTTTAAAAAAGTACTTACTGTTGTTATTTACCGAACCCAGTTTGATTTAGAAGAGTTCCCAGGGACCAAACCGAAATATAACACCTAAACTTTTGTTTAGAATTAAATTTACTAAACAATATTATTTGTTTTGGTTTTAGATTGCGCAGTGAAGCGTGTTGGAAACTTTAAGCTTAATTGATTTTATATTTGAAGATAAAAATAAAAATTTCAATAATCTATTTTAAATTTAATTAAACAAAACTATTTTTAAACTAATTAAGCTAAATTAGACTTTGTACGTCGTCGGTACAATAATAACATAAATGTATGAATCAGAAATTAACAATTTTCTAAACAGAAAATCGAGAAAGCTCTCAGTAACTGAGAGATTTTCCGTCTAGAAAAGCTCTCAGTAACTGAGAGATTTTCCGTCTAGAAAAGCTCTCAGTAACTGAGAGATTTTCCGTCTAGAAAAGCTCTCAGTAACTGAGAGATTTTCCGTCTAGAAAAGCTCTCTGTAACTGAGAGATTTTCCGTCTAGAAAAGCTCTCAGTAACTGAGAGATTTTCCGTCTAGAAAAGCTCTCAGTAACTGAGAGATTTTCCGTCTAGAAAAGCTCTCAATAACTCAGAGATTTTCCGTCTAAAAAAGCTCTCAGTAACTGAGAGATTTTCCGTCTAGAAAAGCTTTCAGTAACTGAGAGATTTTCCGTCTAGAAAAGCTTTCAGTAACTGAGAGATTTTCCGTCTAGAAAAGCTCTCAGTAACTGAGAGATTTTCCGTCTAGAAAAGCTCTCAGTAATTGAGAGATTCGCTAAAAAATAAAATTTTCTTTAAATTTCGAAACTTCACAAAAAAACTTATAAATAAATTTCACTTTATTTTTCACAGAAAATTATTAAAAACATTTATAAATTTCAATTAATTATATCCTTAAATAATTGCTGAGCCTTTGAGCCCTTCTGCTGTATACTGGCCTTCCATTGATCCGCAGACAAACGATACGTATCGACACGTAACTTATAGTTGATCAATTTACCAAAGGGAGAACCCTTCAATTTATTCGATTTATCTGCCAGTTCTTTAACAATTTTCGCCTTTTGCGGCTCTTGGGCTGCCGCAAAACAGGACTCCACTACACGAGAACCAAATTTCGTTATGGCCAAATCTATGTAGAATCCCTCCAGATGTTTTAAAAGTTTATCACGTGATTTTTCACCAATAAATTTACTTTGCAGGAAAGCATCACAGATATGAGAACCATTGGGGGTATTGAAAATGGTCACCAGGTAATCGGGTGATGTCTCCAATATACAATTGACCATAAAAATGGGTTTGTTGAAACGTAACAAATCCTGTATGATTAAAGAGCCGTGTAGATGCACAAAATTGGTTTTATCTTGTTGTAGGATTTCAAAGGGTTTCAGTTTCAAAAGGCACAAGAAGAATGATTTTAAACGTTCTTTATCACCACTTATATGCAGAGCATTTTGCAAAGCCACTATTAATTGTGCCTGTTTAGTTTGTAGCCTTAAACAGGCCGCCGAAAGGGAGCATATTACACCAGTATGTCCTATTTTCAATAATTCTTCTATTTGATCTTGTAATTCTTGGAATATGTTTTCAAAATCTTCTTTTTCTTTGATACTAACTAAAAGTTTTTGCACAGCAAAATTTGTTAAATGCTGCTGGGCCAATAAGGCCATTTTATTCGCAAATAACATGGCATAGATTTGAGTTAAAAGTTTGGGTCCAGCTACTGTTAGTAAAGTTTCCAGTAAAATAATTGCAGATTGATATTCAAAGACTTTGGGCAGTTTAGGTACATTTTTTGAGGTTTCCGCTTCAACTTCTTTGTTTGCTTCTGGCTCCTTCTTGTTAACCGGTTTTTCTTCTTCCCCCTCATCATCTAAGATTTCAATATTTTTTAATTTTTCATCTTCATCCACATCGACTATGAGTAAAGCTTCCATTAATATTTTTCTACCCAAGTTTTTTAGCATTTTCTTATCAATGATCTTTAAAGCTATGCACAAAACACTCATTAAAGCGGAAG